TTGGCCATTGCTAGTAGGTTGGAGGCCATCGCTGTTAGGTTGGCCATCGCTGTTAGGTTGGAACCATCGCTGTTAGGTTGGCCATCGCTGTTAGGTTGGAGGCCATCGCTGTTAGGTTGGAGGCCATCACTGTTAGGTTGGAGACCATTGCTATTGGGTTGGAGGCCATTGCTATTGGAGGCCATTGCTTTTAGGTTGGAGGCCATCGCTGTTGGGTTAGAGGCCATTGCTATTTGGTTGGAGGCCATGGCTTTCAGGTTGGAGGCCATCGCTGTTAGGCTGGATGCCATTCCTATTAGGTTGGAGGCCATATTGCTAGTAGGGTGGAGGCCATCGCTAGTAGGTTGGAGGCCATTGCTATTAGATTGGAGGCCATTGCTGTTAGGTTGGAGGCCATCGCTGTTTGGTTAGAGGCCATTGCTATTAGGTTGGAGGCCATATTGCTATTAGGTTGGAGGCCATTGCTGTTAGGTTGGATGACATTGCTATTAGGTTGGAGGCCATTGCGATTTGGTTGGAGGCCATTGCTATTAGGCTTTCTTAAGGCTTTTCATTTTTTTCATTTCATTTTGTGGGTTGAGCAATGTCAAACGCTCCGCCTCACTCTGCAGAGTTGTTCCATGCGCTGATCTCTTTGGTTGTGTGTTCTACCATGTCCTAAAACTCAACCAAGGCCCGGCAAGTGGCAGCAGAGCCTGGCCTTGCTTTGTGAGTTTCCGAGCTTCTTGGAGGATGAACTAAGACTGCTTCCTGACCCGATCTGACTCAGCATGAAGTGAAGTAAGAGTGACTATAGTTCCATTCAGAAAGTACTGAATCTGTGAATGCGATCAATGAAGGTTTAGCTGTGCAGCCCGACGACATGGTGGCTTGGCAAAGTGATGACGTTCCGATGTCTGAAGCGGATCCAGTGAAAATCCAGCAAGAGGACGCTACTAGAACAAACAAGGGCATCGCTACTAGGAGCAAGGACGCTACTAGGGGCTCCTGGCCTTACTACTAGTAGCAAGGACGCTAGTAGTAACAAGGAATTCGGCAGATGTCCGAGTGCTTGTGAGGCATTCAATGCGGCCATCCGTGCCTGTCAGGGCGAATGGGTGCAGGCGTGGTTGGTCCAAGTGCTGGGAATCATCCAAAGCTTGTTGCTTCTTGCTCTTAGTAGTAAGGCCAGGAGCCCCTAGTAGCGTCCTTGCTCCTAGTAGCGATGCCAGGAGCCCCTAGTAGCTTCTTGTTGCAACAATTCATGGGATGACTTACTTGGACACAGTAAATCTGGAGGTCTGAAGAGTCGCTATTCCACGTGATCAACCACACCTAATAGGAAGAACAAAAGGGGCTAAGTGCACAAGGCCACCAAAGTTGATGTTGTTCACACAGATTTTCCTGGTTACCTATATATGATCTCTGGATCAATACTTGCAGTATTCCATCCAGATCAACATTCTGACTACAGCAGACTATGTGCATTCTTTCGAGTGAAGGCAGATCTCTGTAGTTGATTGGACTCCGTAAGACCTTAGCCAGTAACAAGTGCCACGCTAGTAGTAACAGGTGCCTTACTAGTAGTAACAAGAAGCTATTAGTAACAAGTGCCACGCTAGTAGTAACTATTGGACTCCGTAAGACCTTAGGACTCCTAGGGAGTGCCCCAAAGAATGCCGAACTGAAAAACTTGCTGTGGACGACTGGTGAGTTCAATTTGCCAACAGCCGAGAAGCCCATGGCCGAAGCGTTCTTGCAAACAGAAAGGGGCAATTAGTGCAGGCCTCTAAGAAGGATTTGCGTGGTTTCACCATAGCAAGGAGAGAATGACAGGAAGGAAAGAAAAGAACACGAAAAAGTATGAAAAGTCCTGACAACAATCCTACAGAAAAACTACCAGCCAAGAAAGAACGATTTGTAGCGGGTAGCCAAGGCCAACACCGCCTCATACCTCGTGTGCTCGCCAGGCATTTCAACTTCTCGAGCTAATGCGAGCACAGCAGCTACAGCCAACTGCCATCACGTACGCAGCTTCAGCTCTCTTCAGCGGTGAAGCCCCATTTCTTCACACCAACAGCACCTGCAGTGCCACGGAGACCAATTTTGCATGACTAAGTGAGCACCGCGTTGGCTCCGAGTGTGTAAGGGTAGAGGGGATTTCGTCCGTAGCTTGTCTGGGTTATGCTCGAAGTGGCTGTGTCAAAAAGGCTTTCCAGTAGCTGGTCCAACGACTAGTGTAGAAACATCAAAAGCATAGCAGTTGTGTTCATGTTTCGCTTATCTGAAATCAACTGACACCTCTTTCCTTTGCCAGGTTCACTGCCTGTGCCAATGCTGCTGCTGCTGCTGCCTCATGGCCAGCTGCTCTTGCAGCTTTGGATGAGGCTGGAATATGAAGTGTTCCCACCCAATTTCTCAGAGCATGTTGGCAGAATGTGTCAATGTAACTCACTATTTCATTCTGTGAGCAGCCCCAATTTCGTCGAGTTTTGCTTGCAAAAACCGTCTGAAATCCACAGAAGCTATCGGATTACTTGCACACAAAAGTGCACAAGTAACTATGGGCCAAGATTCCTTCCGAGATCTAGTCGAAATTCACAGGAATCCTGTCAGGCAAGAAATCTTCAGCTGCAAATGGACGTCATCCTCTTCTCGACTGTTTTGAAGTCCTTGCCTGGCGAGGCCATGTTTGGTGTGCAACAAAGATGTCAATGGTATTGCCATAGATTTCAAACCAAGATTTACAGTACACAGGTTTCCAACCTACTAGCGATGGCCTCCAACCTAGTAGCTTCTTGTTCCTAGTAGTAATGCCAGGAGCTACTAGTAGCTTCTTGCTCCTAGTAGCGATGCCCTTTGTTCCGTTCGTAGCTTCTTGTTCAGGTTGAGTCCGAAAGACGCCTCGATTCTCGTAACGCGAAGCCAACGCAGTGAGGCCTGGACAAGGGCGTTGCACCTCTTGCAGGACTTGAGGAGATACGGGACAGCTCACCGGATCTTGCTTAAAAAACTCGCCTCGACTCACTTGAAGAGCTCGCTGCCGGAGATGCAGCTGCTTTTGTAAGACATTTCGGGCGACAAAACCGATGGTCATTCCAAAGCTTGAACATTTGCACGCAAACCATTCACAATTTTCAAGCCAGTAGGTTGGAGGCCGTCGCTACTAGTAACAAGGGCATTTTCAAGCATTGTGCGAACAGCCTTGTGCCTAATGGCGCACAATGGGCCCTTGGGTGTCATGGGGCAGCCTGGGGCATGCAGATGGTTCCTTTCTTGGTGCCCCGGGACATACGCATGGTGCGAATCCTTCTGCAAACGACCACACATGGCAAAGCAACAACATCCAAGGACAAAGAGGCAACGCTTGAAGAGTTCCACTTAAATGTACAGGTCTGATGAAATTACACTTGATGTCATGAGGATGGGTGCTAGCTAAGAGTTTGACAGCTGGACCAAAGAAAGCTAGTAGCTTGATAGGTTGGAGGCCATCGCTACTGGTAGTTGATTGGAGGCCATTGCTAATAGGTTGGAGGCCATCGCTATTTGGTTGGAGGCCATTGCTATTAGATTCCTTTTGCTATTTGGGTGGAGGGAGGCCATCGCTAGTAGATTCCTTGCCAATAGTTTCGATTCGCAATTTCTTCATCTTTGCTCATTCGAGGTACATGGCAGCCTCTGCGAGCCCGTGGTGCTTGGTGCGAGGCGCAGCTGATGCTGCAGCAGCTGCGTTGGAAGGGTCATGTACCAGGCAGATGGATGTGTCGAGAGTAATGAGTTGTAACGAGTTTCCGTTTTTGCAGTGGAAGAAAGGCCAATTTTGGTTCCTTGGTTTGCTTTCGAGTGAAGCACCGTGCCACAAGACCGATCCTTGGAAAGCAACGCTTCAGAGTGGGAAGCTCCTCTTGAGTGCATTCAGTCAACTTCTTGTCAAACTGAGCCTTCTGAGCCTTGTTAGGAAGAGTCTCTTCCTTGAAAGAAGGGGTAGCATGGTTGCATGCCTTGCACTTTCCGAACAAAACGTGAGGCATCTTGAGCTACAACAAGGTTTTGGCTGTAGGCGGCGACTGGCCAATGGCATTGGCAATGTTCGAGATGGTGCTCCGCGAGGCGAGGATCAGCTAAACTCAGTGCACTTCTTGCAGATGCAAAGCGAGCAAAACGAAAAAACAAAGGAACATAATAGCAATGGCTTCCAACCTACTAGCGATGGCCTCCAACCTACTAGCGATGCCTCCAACCTACTAGCAATGGCCTCCAACCTACTAGCGATGGCCTCCAACCTACTAGCGATGGCCTCCACCCCACTAGCAATGCCTCCAACCTACTAGCGATGGCCTCCAACCTACTAGCAATGGCCTCCAACCTACTAGCGATGGCCTCCAA